GGATGGAACTGAGGGTTTATAAGAGGAACAGAGTGCTGGGTGGGAGGATGCATACATGTGCATACATGTGGGTGTGGAGGCCAGAGGTTAATCTTGGGTGTCATTCCTCAGAAGCCATTAGTCTTTTTTTTTTTTTCTTTTGAGGCAGGGGATTCTACCAACTGAACTATATCTTTCTGACCCTGTAGATAAGGATTTCTTTTTTTTTTTTCTGTCTTTTTGAGACAGGGTCTCCCCAGGTGAGCCCCAGCTGGCCTGGAACTCACTACATACACCAGGCTGGCCTGGAACTCACAGAGCTCCGCCTGCCTCTGCCCCCGAGTGCTGGGATTAAAGGTGTGGATCTTTTGTCACTTAGCTGACCACGGACAACTTTCTGGCATCCAGTGAGCAATGTGGTAAACAGTTTCAGAACCTATAGAGCTTTCAGGAAATCCAGTGCTGGTGGCAAGGACAGACTTTTCTAATAGACTAAACCCAAGGATTTATAAGGCTCTAGTATGTTTAGTCAATATGATGCTCTCTGTGGGTAAATTACTTTTACACTTTAAATGAAAAAATGTGGATAGTTCTGTCACTGAATTATCTTTTCTCTTTAATAGACATATTATTCCTATACAAGGAATAAGAGTGAAATAAAAATACTTTCTGTGGAAAAAAAAAAAAGGCGTGGGTCACCATGTCCAGCCAATAAGGATTTCTTAAACATGGTACCCAAAATGCACATCTTTCATTCTGAACTTCAGATTTGGCTCAAAATTTAAAAAATAAGTACAAGTCCAGAAAATCCCTGACATGCCAACCTCTTTATCACATACCTGAGATTGAACATTTTGATCACATGGTGTGTGACCTTTTCAGCTCACTGACAAAACACCCAAGAAAGCAACTAAAAAGGAAAAAAAAAAGGAAGGCTTGTTTTGGTTCACAGTTTCAGAAGTCTGTCTTTGGCTGGTTGGCCCCATGGCTGTAGGGAAAGTGTCACAATTGAAGGGGTGTGTGGAGCAAAACTGCTCATGTCTGGAGGTCAGGAAGAAGAGATGAGTGCCAGGGCCCAGAGACAAAATACCTCCTTTTGAAGGCTCCCTCAAATGACCTACTTTCTCCAACCAGCTCCACCTTTTCTAGTTTCCATCACCACTTCTCAATAGTGCCTTCAAGAGGCATCAAGCTTTCACTGCATAGGATTTGGGGCTATTTCACACCCAAACCAAAAACATGAGTTGTAGCAAACCATACAAGTTGAGCTACAGGTGGGTTAAATCAGAGGAAAGAAAGTGTTTAGCAGAGTTGTCCCTGACACTGATGAAAAGACTGGTTAGTGGGGCTGGAGAGATTGGCTCAGTGGTTAAGAACACTGATTGTTCTTGCAGAAGACCCAGGTTCGAATCCCAGCACCCACATGGCAGCTAACACCTGTCCCTAACTCCAGTTCTGGGGGATCCGATGGTCTCTTCTGTCCTTGCAGGCATTGCATGACACAAGTGTACTTACATACATGCAGGCAATACACTCATACACATAAAAATAACAAAATATTTGGGAAAAAAAAACTGGTTAGTTACCTGTGTGGGATAGAAATGTTGGAAATAACCGGTTTCAAATTAGATACCACAGGTGCACAGCTAGCTCAGTCGGTAGAGCATGAGACTCTTAAATTAGATACCTGTAATATTAATACCCTAAGGTTGCTGAATAATGAGGCAAGCACTCATACACGCAGTTTGTCACCATCTCAGATCTAATAAATAAAAAGAAATGCTGTGTTTGCCTTCTCTATAGAAGGTTATTTAAATTGTCCAATCTTTCCTTAACATCTTTTGCTTACAGTATAAAAACCTGCATTGGGGGCAGGAGAGATGGCTCAGCGGTTAAGAGCACTAGCTGCTCTTGCAGAAGATCTGGGTTTGAATCCCAGCCACCCATATCAAATCTAGCTTGTAACACCAGTTCCTAGGGATGTGATGCCCTCTTCTGACCTCCTTGGACACTGCACGATATGGATGCATTTACATACATACAGGCCTTACATTCACACACATAAAAATAAATATTTTTTTGAAATCTGCACTGGCATTTTTCTGAGAGTTTTACTTTTCTGATAGTTAGAGCTTTTCAAATGTTAAGGCCATATGCCTTTTTTCCCCCTGAGGCAGAGTCTCAACTCTGTAGTCCAGGCTGGCTATTTTTTTTTTTTTTTTGGTCTTTTTGAGACAGGGTCTCCCTGTAGCCCCAGCTGTCCTGGAACTCACTATGTAGACCAGGCTGGCCTTGAACTCACAGAGATCTGCCTGCCTCTGCCTCCTGAGTGCTGGGATTAAAGGCATGCGCCACCATGCCCAGTGTCAGACTGGCATCTTACTCTCAGTCCTCTTGCCTTAGCCTCTCAAGTGCTCAGATCAAAGGTGTTTGCCACCACCACGCTTTGTTATATACTTTTGTTGTTGTTACTTTTCTGTTGTAGAAAATCATGGGGACCAGGAACAGAAGAATTGGCATTACATTTAGCTCTCCTCCTACCTAAATTTCCTTATCTAGAAAATGGGAATGATAGTACTTAACCGCAGTAGATTGAATGGTTCACCACTCTCCCAATATATATCCACAAACTAATCCCAAGAGCCCAAGGCTATTACTTTACCTAGGAAAAGGTCTTTACAGGCCTGGTATGGTAACTTAGTGGTAGAGTGCATCCTTGGTATACATGAAGCCCAGTATACATGTAGAAATACAGACTCGTGCACACAGGATCTTTGTAAGTTATGGATTTTCTCATGAGAATATCATCCTGGATTATCCTTGTGAACTCTAAATCCAATTATAAATGTCCTTGTAAATGTGCATTAATTCCAGCTCTGAGACTGCGAAAGAACTCTGAATCTTTTTTATTAGTTTTTTTATTATTATTCCAAAGAGAGGCAATTTTAAACATATTTTCCAGAGATAACTTGAAGCAGGTTACACACAAAAAAAAATACAATGAAGTTTAAGGGGGAAACAGGAATAATAAATCAAAGATGAAGGGATTTGCCAGCATGGAGTCAACTTTGGTGGAATAATGAAGAGAACTGAATCTTAAGAACTGCAATTCACAAGACACAGGTTCAAGTAGTCTTGAAGGAGTGTTCCAAAGGAAACAGAAAAAAAAAAAAAAAGGGAAT